CTCCCATTATCCCTTAGGTATTACCTCAGGCAAACTGAACTAAACGTTAGATCTATAGTTCCTCAAACACACATCAGTTAAAATGATGACAAAAAAAAGTCAAATTGACGACAGTAAAATTTTATGATTTTCTAAATCTTGATTCAAACTCAAGCTAAAGTTAAGCATAAAATGGTTAAACATCTACTTAATAATAATCTACGGTGAAGACTTGCTTGATTTTGATCGCATCCTGAGCTTCGTGTCATAATACAGCCTGAGTCCAATTCTGCTATCATGGAGTGACTAATGCCCGTTTTCATTTTCATTTTTTATTTTCAGTCGTTTTCACCATCAATCCCTAATGACCCTTATTTTTGTTGTGTGTTACCATAGGGGTCACTTAAAAATTAAGGATTGATGGTGAAAGCGGGCATAAGAAGGACTTAATTCAGTACGATATTTTTCTATAGACGATAAACACATTAAACAATAATCTCTAACGGTTTTAAGCAGTTAAAATCCAATTTACAAGGACTAAGATACACTTAGACCTTATTTTAAATTAATAAGGTTCAATATTTCGTGGCTACATATGTGTCCAAATCCCTATAAAGGCTTAATAAAAGGACAATCTAATCTATTACTTTAAAAGTGCACACTCTTTGATACATAAGTCCCTAAACTAAATTTTACAATTTAAACTTATTATTGTCTCTTTCGAAATGGTTTGATTAGAAAAAGACAGAACTTTAAGATGTAAAATTTTGTTTTAAAAGAAGTTCCTAAAGGACGAAGCACACATATCAACCCGGAAACGGATCTTAACCGTATCAACTCGAGGCAGTCAGTATTCTTTTTATGGGACAGGAGGCAAACGAGCAGAAGGATCATCTGATGGTAAGTGATTACCGTCGCCCATAGACACTCGTAATCTTTGTATGAACTTCGTACTTATCCGCACCGTAACGTAAACGCAACGCCTCGTCTCGCGGTTGACAGCGCGGCGAAAGGCGATACGGTGTCCCTTTCTTGGTTGGTAAGATAACTAAATAAGACACAGACTATTCACAAACTTTAGCTAAATATAAAAATTACCTAAACTTCACATTCACATACCTCTTGTCTGCAGAACATTACGCGATTCTTTTAGCTAACTTCGGCATCAAAGGAAGAGCTATTCGATGTGTCAAAAAGTCTAATAATCAAAATCTAAGTATAAAAGTGTATAACTTGCCAATAGGCTGATTTACTGGGCCGTCCACTTGTCATTCATTATTTCATTGCCAAATTCATCATCACTGCAAAATCATTGGTGTATCTTTTTCGATAGTGGATAGGTAATGCACCATTTAAAATGAGCAGTAGGTGCTAACGTCAATTAATATCGAATATTATAGGTCTGGGGGCACACTGAAAACCAGCGTCGTGGCCTTCCTCATCGGGGGCCACGGCATATGCTGAGTGGGGTCCCATTGCGATGGACATCGCTGTGCGACAGGGTGGCACTGCTCAGTTTACTTTCTCTTCCATTGTATGTTTTATATGTCACCTCTGTCTTATTTGCTTTTTTTTTATTTACCTCTTGTCTTTTGTGATGTCCATGGCAATAAATGTTTCTTTCTTTCTTTTAACCCAGTCAATGCCTGAGCTATGGGAGCGTGAAGTCAGCGAGACTTCAAATCTCCTTCAGATTTATATGCTCTGTCACGTCATATATGTCAATGTCATCCCTCCCCTGCCGGTCCCATACCTCAGGTACTGACAGACTTAAACGATACACCTATGACAACTTAGGTGTGAAAAGAGATCACCGAAAGTTAGTTATTAAGCCTGGTCCGTGAGCACGTAGAATTTTGTCCAATGACCCCAAGCTATCCATCCTTATCGCTCGCGCGTAATTATATTGCTGTTGCGACTGTACGACGGGCGCCCGCAGTGAGTGTGCGAGTGCGACAGCAACATAATTACGCGCGAGCGATAAGGATGGGCAGCTTGGGGTCATTGGACAAAATTCTACGTGCTCACGGACCAGGCTTTAGGAAGAATGACATTCCAACACGACCCAATATTATAAAAAAGTGTGAGCAAAAATTTTACGAAGGCGAAGACGAGATTCTCTGAAGCATTCTTTTTTCGATAAATGTAATGCTATCCTTGTTCTACTCATAAGTTACAAGAGATAGCAATACATCGTCGTTTAAGCTCTCAAGATGTTTTTCTTGCTTAGGTACTTTTCTTTGCTAAGAAGAAAATTTAAAAACTTGACTTAGATGAAAAAATACTAACATTAAACCTAAATTAATCTCATAGTAGTTGAAAGTGTAGAATGGATGATAAAACTTCATGATACCTTCCTTGCCAAATACCCAAATAAATGGGGGCAAAAACCTCATCAGTTATAATTTTCTTCTGCCTTTTTTATGTTTAAATAGGCTTCAGTTCCCATGCTGCCTACTTTTTCTCAAGTCATAAGTTATACATCAAGGAATACAGAAAAGAACCCACCCTGGGCTTAAGTTGCAGTTAGTCAAAAACAAATCCTGGATGCCCCAAAACTTTCTTATCAAAGATCACATATCCATCGCAATGTCTACGTCACCGCTGTGACGTCACGGCACTTGGCTGCAGACTGTGGGAATGTGAACGGGCGATTCTCACTGAGTCTTCGGCTTGTGAGACCCGTCGCTTGTGAAGATGAAAGAGAAGTCGGATTTCTTCTGCGCGTAAGAGGTGAATTCATCTGGAAAAAATGTTATTTTGTAATCGTATAGTCCAGAAGTATGGGATAAGTAATCTTGTAGTCCACAAGGTGAATTGACAACCTCATAAAGGTAGCAGGAAGGCGCTGGATGCAGGCCGCTACCAACCGGCCATTGTGGAAATCATTGGGGGAGGCCTATGTTCATTCAGCGGTGGACGTCCTATGGCTGAAATGATGATGATGATGATAGTCCAAAAGCAGCACACCACAGCTGCAGAAAGAACTTCGATTGTTTTGACGTATGCGTTGAAAATGAACAGGTGTTGCCAACTATGAATATTAAAAACGGAAAAATTTACTCTGGACTTACCGAGGGTTAAGACTTACAACCCGTTCGAGTTAACTGCACCTGGCTGGAATGCGACTTTCCCTCGCACTTACCCGCATTCGCCCGTCAATAACAGAGCGTCGATGTGATGTCACGGCAGCCAGGTGCGCAGGTAACTAGACCGGGTTGTAAGATAGAACCCCGTTGCCGCTGGACTATTATGGTGAACCCATTCGTATTTATATTTATACACAAGTAGGTATCTCCGATTACTTGCTGGGAAGCCTCCGCACAAATATTGTAAAAAACTTTTTGTCAATAAACAATTTTTAATTTTAATTTTAGCTCGAAGGGTTAACGGGACTTCAAAAAAATTTTGCTTACCATAAGTGATGTAATACGGCATCCAAGTCCACCGCGCGGAAGGTGCCCTGGGCCTCCTCAAGAGTCAGCCCTTCCCAAGGTCTCAATGTAGATGTTGCTAGCCATATCTCACAGTCTTGATGCAGTGTTGCCAACATTGAACTCACCGTAAGTGATGTACCCTTTCTCGTCCAGGTCCACCGCGCGGACTCAGGAGTCAGCCCGAGGCAACGCGTAGCCACCTCTTCGAAGGTCCCAATGTGGATGTTTCCAGCAATATCTCACAGAGTCTTAATGCAGTGTTGCCAACATTGAACTCACCGTAAGTGATGTACCCTTTCTCGTCCAGGTCCACCGCGCGGAAGGTGCCCTGGGCCTCCTCAGAAGTCAGCCCGAGACAGCGCGTAGACACCTCTTCGAAGGTCCCAATGTGGATGTTTCCAGCAATATCTCACAGAGTCTTAATGCAGTGTTGCCAACATTGAACTCACCGTAAGTGATTATAATAACGTCCAGGTATTTCGGCCACTCGACACCACAGATGAATATAAAACTCGGGTAAAAGAATAATTATTTATTGCACTTTACACAACGATCCTTACGTCTAGCACACTTCACTCTTTTAACCAGAAGCAGCAAAAGCTGGCCATAACTCCGCTTATAAACTCTTAAAAATCGCGGGAACTCAAACGTTTCGATTGGTCGACATCGTCGGCCAATCAAAACGCTTCTCCCACTTGGCGGGAAAATGTAAGCATTGTGATTGGTCAACGCTAAAGTGACGTCGACCAATCGTGTTCGAGCAAGCTCCCCAGACATTGAACGGAGTTGCCACTTCAGAAAAATTGAAAGTTACCATTTTATAAAAATAAAATATTACCAAAATAATTAACTCTAACAATTAAATATCGCTAAAATAATTAACCCTAACAATCGACCGTCCTGACATCGTGAGCGTCCTCGCACACGAAGCCAGGTGGCACCCTAACAATCGGAGTTATGACCAATTTTTCATTAGATTATTAAGTAGGTATATATTGTAACTAAGCAAATAAGTAAACATTCTTGAGATAATAATGTGCACCTCTTCGAAGGTCCCAATGTGGATGTTTCCAGCAATATCTCACAGAGTCTTAATGCAGTGTTGCCAACATTGAACTCACCGTAAGTGATGTACCCTTTCTCGTCCAGGTCCACCGCGCGGAAGGTGCCCTGGGCCTCCTCAGAAGTCAGCCCGAGACAGCGCGTAGACACCTCTTCGAAGGTCCCAATGTGGATGTTTCCAGCAATATCTCACAGAGTCTTAATGCAGTGTTGCCAACATTGAACTCACCGTAAGTGATGTACCCTTTCTCGTCCAGGTCCACCGCGCGGAAGGTGCCCTGGGCCTCCTCAGAAGTCAGCCCGAGACAGCGCGTAGACACCTCTTCGAAGGTCCCAATGTGGATGTTTCCAGCAATATCTCACAGAGTCTTAATGCAGTGTTGCCAACATTGAACTCACCGTAAGTGATGTACCCTTTCTCGTCCAGGTCCACCGCGCGGAAGGTGCCCTGGGCCTCCTCAGAAGTCAGCCCGAGACAGCGCGTAGACACCTCTTCGAAGGTCCCAATGTGGATGTTTCCAGCAATATCTCACAGAGTCTTAATGCAGTGTTGCCAACATTGAACTCACCGTAAGTGATGTACCCTTTCTCGTCCAGGTCCACCGCGCGGAAGGTGCCCTGGGCCTCCTCAGAAGTCAGCCCGAGACAGCGCGTAGACACCTCTTCGAAGGTCCCAATGTGGATGTTTCCAGCAATATCTCACAGAGTCTTAATGCAGTGTTGCCAACATTGAACTCACCGTAAGTGATTATAATAACGTCCAGGTATTTCGGCCACTCGACACCACAGATGAATATAAAACTCGGGTAAAAGAATAATTATTTATTGCACTTTACACAACGATCCTTACGTCTAGCACACTTCACTCTTTTAACCAGAAGCAGCAAAAGCTGGCCATAACTCCGCTTATAAACTCTTAAAAATCGCGGGAACTCAAACGTTTCGATTGGTCGACATCGTCGGCCAATCAAAACGCTTCTCCCACTTGGCGGGAAAATGTAAGCATTGTGATTGGTCAACGCTAAAGTGACGTCGACCAATCGTGTTCGAGCAAGCTCCCCAGAATTGAACGGAGTTGCCACTTCAGAAAAATTGAAAGTTACCATTTTATAAAAATAAAATATTACCAAAATAATTAACTCTAACAATTAAATATCGCTAAAATAATTAACCCTAACATGATGTACCCTTTCTCGTCCAGGTCCACCGCGCGGAAGGTGCCCTGGGCCTCCTCAGGAGTTAGCCCGAGGCAACGTATAGCCACCTCCTCAAACATCTCAATGTACAAGTTGCCAGCATTATCTCATAGTCTTGAACATTGAACTCACCGTAAGTTATGTACCCTTTCTCATCCATCTCATCTCAGAAGTCAGCCCGAGACAGCGCGTAGCCATCTCTTCGAAGGTCCGAATGTGGATGTTTCCAGTCGTATCTTACAATCTTGATGCAGTGTTGCCAACATGGCTGTGTCCTCTGTGGTCTAGTGGTAAGACCACCTGCTTCTGACGCAGAGGTCCCTGGTTCGATTCCCAGTGGGAGCAGATTTTTTGTTCGGTTTGGTTGGTGGTAGGGCTTGTTCTAAGTCCGCCTTGCTAGCTACCACCATCTTACCTAAGTCTGTCGCCATAACAACAATGTTAACAGCATTGTTGTGTTCCGGCAGTTAGAGGTAAGATAGCCAGTTCCTACGTGATTGAGGATTCCGGGTGAAGCTCGCTTCCACCTTCGGCCTGATCGTCACTTACCATCAGGTGAGATACAGGCCAAGAGCTTCCTCGTTGTGCATAAAAAAAATGAACTCACCGTAAGTGATGTACCCTTTCTCATCCAGGTCTACCGCGCGGAAGGTTCCCTGGGCCTCCTCAGGAGTCAGCCCGAGGCAGCGCGTAGCCACCTCTTCGAAGGTTTTGATGTTCAGCCGCCCCGTACGATTGGTGTCGTATAGCTGAGTAAATAAACAGTGTTTTAGTGTCTATAATTAGGTTGAGAAAATCTTTCAATGAGTTTAAAACTGAGTTTTTTCCATCACTTCTTCTTAGCACCAGTCGATCTGTTGTCCCAAAGTTTTAGTAGGGCAAGCTATAATATTATTGATGTGTGTATTTGCCTACATACTAATGAGCAACTGAATACTTATTAGGGTGGAGCACGGTTGTATGGGAAAAAATTTTTTTTAGTTTCGAAGTTCTAATAGGGGGGGATTTGTGCCTTATATGAAAGTATAAATAACTGTAATTTTTTATCCCATTTAATGAATATCTTCTGCCTCCGCAGTGACTTCAAAATTTTAAAATTTTATTTAAAGTTGAAAGTCGTCTAAGGTGAAATATTGCACTCTACTTATTAGTAAGAAGGTATTAAATGACAGATAATTTATAGATTAGATATTTACTAAGGTAATATAACAAGAAATACATACAAGAATTAGATAAATTACTTTAATTATTATGCTTGAAAATCCTTTTTTGATCAAAATTTAGGCATCACGTTTCGCGATTCCAACTTGACTTTTATTGCACCTTATTAGTGACTTTCTGGATGCAGTGAGAAATAGAATCTTTGATCGAAATCTTCACAGGTCCCTCAACAGCTTGAGTGAGGTAGAGAAGCCTTAAAACAAAGGTTTGCTCTCACCACCAGATTTGACAATGTGCTGAATTTCTTAGTCAAATAAATATCTCAAAAGCGGCTGTTTGGTTAAGTAAATTAAATATTGAAAATATAGCATATCAGTAAACGATTTGTGATAAAAAAATAGTATTTTTATTTAAATATTGCACAGATATGTGGCGCCTAAGTGAGGTCTAAAACCAACTTTTTTTATAAATTCAGTGTCGATGCGGAGGCAGTTACTCTAAACCGAATTGATTAATATTTTGCATGACTTCATTTAAGCCCTAAAGGCACAAAATTTTGACTATTACATTACAGATATCTGAAAAAAAAATTTTCGCTCCACCCTAATACTTATAGCACTTATAAAAATTTAAATAATACAATAGTTTTGCCCAAATCTGATTTGTTGTATTATTTTCCAACATTAAAAGGTCAGGTTCTCAGAAAAAGAAATTTTTGTTCCAAAATGTTTTGTGTTATTTTGACCCATATTGGCAGCAAATCACAAACATTAGATCTATTGTCATTCGAGTTATTGACGAATCATTTTGAAACGTCCAGTGGCAAAAATCAATAACAGCCCAGTATTGATAGGAGCGCCCTCCTGTAAATGTAATTTGTCCATCGTGACAAAAATCGGACATAGCCCGACGGACTAGCAAGCTGAAGTGGCAATGGGCAGGGCACATAGTACGCAGAACTGACAGCCGATGGGGCAACAAGGTTCTGAAGTGGAGGCTGCGTACTGGAAAACGCAGCGTGGGACGTCCACCCACAAGGTGAACCGACGACATCTTAAAGGTAGCAGGAAAGCGCTGGACGCAGGCCACTACCAACCGGGCAGCATGGAAAGTATTGGGGAAGGCCTATGTTCAGCAGTGGACGTCCTATGGCTGAGATGATGATGATGATGACAAAAATCGGAACCAGTATGGATAGTAGCGCCCTCCTGCCAATGTCATAGCTGGGAGGGTTCAATGTTCGTCATCTCATAATCGACTGCCTCTTTGTATCTACCGACATATGTTTAAAATTACTTGTTATTTTAACCGATTGTTTCTGGGCGAGCTGCGCCCTTTACCTCAACTGGCATCCGCAGAATACCAGTGGTCGTGACGCGCTCTCTGCCGTCACGGCGCATACTGAGCTGATGCCATTTTGGTGCTTGTACGCGTTCTGTTGTTTAGTTTTATTTATTATCTTGCTGTGTACTTGTTGCAATTGAACACATCACTAGTGAAGTCACCCTCCGGATGTGACCCCATCTCTAGCCCCCTCTCCGCCATACTTTTTCCTACTGCGAGTATACTCTTGTGTAAATCCATTGTGAACAATTATTACACATACTTATTTAAACTTTCAGTCTTTTAATTATTACTTCAGTACTTGCATCGAATAAATTTCTTTCTTTCTTTCTTTCTTTCATCTCCCACAGACAGTCTTCTGGCTCTTTACCTTGAAGGCCAGCGACAGCAGCTGCGACAGCGGCGCGTGCTGCAGCGACAGGAAGCACGCGCTCAGCAGGTAGTCCGGGAAGTGGACCAGCCCGCTGGACCGCTGCAACAAGGGCAATAAATAGTATATTTGGACTTGCACTGCACCATTTGACCCCAAAATAACCAAAGCACATTATTCTCAGTAATTCAGTTTCAACCCATTTGGTTTCATCAAATTACTCGTACTATCCATTCATCATGTGGTTCATTCATCTAGTTTTGTCTAGTAACATCTGGCTGAAAGACAATTTACGTTGCTCCCCTTAATAATCTTGATCCCATTATTCTACAGCGCATATTGTGTCCAGCTAGATGCACAAAGCAACTTCATAACGGGCTCGACACGCTAGTTCTCATCGCGTAAATTCTTGTGAGCGCCCTACTGTGCTCATCTATAGTCCGTCAGTAACAAACTTAGTTCTTCTTCTTGCTTCTTCTTCTTAGTTGTCCTTACCTGCACGAAAATGTCAAAGAGCCTCTGCGAGCGCTGGTCCATGGGAACTCCGAGGCGCTGCGCGAACTCCTCGCCCGACACCCATCGTGAGCGCGTCTGTACGCCTTGCGCTGCCAAGTGTAGTTCTAACTGAGATCGCTCCAGGTTATAGTAGGAACTGTTCCTTACCTGCACGAAGATGTCAAAGAGCTGCGAGCGTTGGTCCTGGATTACACCCATGGGTCATGGATTCTACCAAACATGTATGTAGATATAGTCTGGTCTCCGAGCACGTACAATTTCGTCCAATGACTCCAAGCTACCCATCCTTAACGCTCGCGCGTAATTATATTGCTGTCGCGACTGTGCGACGGGCGCCCGCAGTGAGTGTGCGAGCGCGACAGCAACATAATTACACGCGAGCGATAAGGATGGGTAGCTTGGGGTCATTGGACAAAATTCTACGTGCTCACGGACCAGACTATAGATAACCACGGCCACTTTATTCAGACCCCACTACTCCGCGCTCTTAGCATAAATTATTGTGCGAGCCTTGTGCTGTGTGTGTCTAGTGAAACTGGGGCAGCCAGCTTTAGAAGGCAGCCCCAGTTTAACCACTGCTAGTCCGTCTGATAAAACTCCATCTTTCTCTGTCACTGTCTGTTCTCCCTTGTACGAATGCTAGTTTTTCTACCTTCACGAATATACCAAAGTGCCTCTGCGGGTATTGGTCCAGCGGCACGCCTTACGCTGCTAAGTGGAGCGCCAGCTGTTGGAAGAAACTATTCCTTACCTGTACGAAGATGTCAAAGAGCCTCTGCGAGCGTTGATCCATGGGAACGCCTTACGCTGCTAAGTGGAGCTCCAGCTGTGTGAAGAAACTGTTCCTTACCTTCACAAAGATGTCAAAGAGCCTCTGCGAACGCTGATCCATGGGAACGCCTTACGCTGCTAAGTGGAGCTCCAGCTGTTGGAAGAAACTGTTCCTTACCTGCACGAAGATGTCAAAGAGCCTCTGCGAGCGTTGATCCATGGGAACGCCTTACGCTGCTAAGTGGAGCTCCAATTATGAGCAGAAACTGTTCCTTACCTGCACGAAGATGTCAAAGAGCCTCTGCGAGCTTTGATCCATGGGAACTCCGAGGCGCTGCGCGAACTCCTCGCCCGACACCCATCGCGAGCGCGTCGGCACGCCTTGCGCTGGCAAGTGTAGTTCTAACTGGGATCGCTCCAGGTTATAGTAGGAACTGTTCCTTACCTGCACGAAGATGTCAAAGAGCTGCGAGCGTTGGTCCTGGATTACACCCATGGGTTATGGATTCTACCACTCCACGCTTACAGCGAAGATTCTTGCGAGAACCATGTGCTTATCTATAGTCCAGTAAAACTGGGGCAGCCTTCTAAAGGTACCATCGTTAGGCTGTCTGAAAAACCTCCCTCTTCCTTCTTCACATCAATCTCACCTGTATGAAGACTGGTATTACTACAGCAGCCTTCTTAAGCTACGATTGAGCAGTATCATTTTTTCAATGTTCCTTACCTGCACGAAGATGTCAAAGAGCCTCTGCGAGCGTTGATCCATGGGAACTCCGAGGCGCTGCGCGAACTCCTCGCCCGATACCCATCGCGAGCGCGTCTGTACGCCTTGCGCTGCCAAGTGTAGCTCCAGCTGAGATCGCTCCAGGCTGTAAGCAGTAACAGACAGTTATAAACTTGGCTCTACGGGACTATTCTCACCTTTTGGTTACACAGGTGTAACCAGGATCTCCTAGGTTTTTTTTGGGCTGATTATGTTGATTATGCTGATCGCCGCGAGCGGCTTTCACTGAGCAATAGGTGAGACCAGGATCTCCACAGCTTGACCACCATTGTTGCCAACCAGTGATGTTTGTCCCGAGAGAAAGTTAACTGTCACTGGACCCGCTACGAAGTTAACCAAGTAAACCAGCCTCTACCAGCGGCCTCCTCTGTTGTTGAGGATTCCATGTGAACTTCGTTTCCACCTTCAGCATGATCATGACTTTTCATCAGGTGACTGTGGTGGTGGCATCTGCCAAAACCGATGTAGACAAAAAAAAATCTTAAATCCAAAAACTTAATGGCACTTTGTGGCTTCTTCCCTACCTCTTTTTATTTTTAAAACAAGACTTTCGTCCGTATTCACAAGAGATGCTTGCTTCACGCAAATCGAACGCACAGCATTGAATAGAGCTCTATGATTGGTTCGTGTGTCACCCTATGCGTCCACGCCCACTGTGAGACTAAATACGTACGGCGGCAGCGATAGTCTCAAAAAAAAAACAATTTACTTTAAACTAATTTAATTAAAGATATAGAAATTACAATTACAAATTAATTATTACTAGAGCGATTGACCAAGTTCGATGTTGGAACCAAAGTGATCGATGTGGCGGTGGCGCGATGGGACGCGGCGGCTCGGTGCATCACGTTCTGCCGACGCAGCTTCTCGTGTCGCCGATAGACGCAATTACTTGTTTAGCCAAAATCTAGGTTGGTACTTCGTAGGCGTTTCCCTTAGAGTGGCAGGGTGTAACAGACTTCATAGTAATATTTGTAAATACGGGGGTTTATAAAAAATACCGTATGAGACAAAATAATTTTCTTCTTACCCCAGCTGTCCCCTAATCTCGTTGATCTCCCTCGCAGCAGCCGCGTTGGGGATGCCGAGCTGCTTGGCGCGCGCGATCAGCCGACAGTCGTCGTAAGTGTAGTCGAGCACTGGGATCCCGAGGGCTCTGGAAGGTAAGGTAAAATGAAAGGTTTTACTTCTATGATGTGTAGGAACTAATACTTATCATAGAAATTTTCTAAATCCGCAAAACCTGTTCACAGTTTATAGTTTAAAGAGATTTAAGTGTTCTTTAGGAACCTATGTAGGCTTACATAAATAAACGATGTGATTTTGATTTTTAAGTGTAAGTACCTACTCCTTGGGCCTTTGCCCAGTAGTGGACGTCCTTTGGTTGAAATTAATTAATGAATTTATATTACCCATATCCATTAATTAACAGATATGATTAAAGAAATCCATACATAACCATCCTTCTGGCGCAGTCGCTTAAAAAATTACAAGATACAAGATCATTAAATAGGTGCCAATGGGCTGAGGAGGTGCACTATAGTATACCTATCATTCATGTCATCTACCACTAAAAGCCCTGAGCCCCGATTACGGTAATTTTTAACGTCAACAATCCAGACACGCTTCTCGATTCTGCGATACGATTGGTCGTTCAACAGCGTACGTCAGCTGTTTTGACCAATCGTATCGCAGAATCAGAAACGCGTCTGGATTGTAGACGTTATAAAAGTTACCGTAATCGGGGCTCTGATAATACTTCTTACTGAACAATGACGTACGAATAGTACTAAAGCCTGGTCCGTGAGCACGTAGAATTTTGTCCAATGACCCCAAGCTACCCATCCTTATCGCTCGCGCGTAATTATATTGCTGTCGCGCTCGCACACTCACTGCGGGCGCGCGTCGCACAGTCGCGACAGCAATATAATTACGCGCGAGCAATAAGGATGGGTAGCTTGGAGTCATTGGACAAAATTCTACGTGCTCACGGGCCAGGCTTTAGTCATCTTATCAACAAAGCCATGGTTTATTAATACTTCTTAGTACTTACTTGGCCATGACATCCCTAACGTTCCTGGCGTAGAGCTTGGGGTCTCGCTTCTCCTCCTCGCTCGGGTAGTACACCGGCAGGAACTCGATCTCACACGAGCTGTGAACCTGCGTCAGAGTCAGCCAGAGCAGCTTTAACCTAGAATTAGGTAAAGATACTGTTAATAATAAGCTAACTTTTGGCAGCAAAATGTTCACCAGTTTAGTCTTATGGGTTAAGAAGACCATTTCGTAAGTGAACGTAAAATGTGAAAAAAATAGTAATATCCACAGCTGGACCTGTTTAAGATACAATTTGGTAAGAATAAGCAGCAAATCGTAATTTCAAAAAATCTACATAACCTAAGATCTATATCCTACAAATGTACAAAATATGCTGGAACTACAACTTTTGTGGGATTTCAACCTTCGAACAACATTAGGCCAGCCTAATGGCGTCCTCGAGTGGGTCTCGATGCTCTACTTAAACCTTTACCTGGTAGTGGCAGAATTGTTGCCACCATATTTTGAACCTTATTGAGAAAACATAAGGTACAAAACTAATTAAAAATATTTTTCTCTGTACCAGTTAAAGGGTTAAGGCGTTGCTGTGGAAAGTAACTTAACATAAGTACTGGTTACGCCAGAAGAGACGGTACGAGTGGCATCGCGACGTGGGCCCTTGCCAACAAGAACAGAATCTCGGCAGGATCGGTTCCTACATGTTCCTTCAAGGAAGATGACATTTACGCGCCAGACCCCTTCCAGGTCCAGGTGACGGTGTCCCGGGCGTTGGGGTGCACCGGCACGCCGGGGTAGAAGCCCCCCGGCTTGAACGTGATGATGCAGGAGCGGTTGGTACATGTTCCAAGAAAGATTTGTCACTTACGCGCCAAAACTCTCACTTAAACGTGATGAGATGGATGTAATCGTATTGGCTCCTTAAAGGAAGATGACACTTATGTACCAAACTCCAAACTTGTAGGTGATGAGGCAGGATCGGATCCTACATGGCCTTTAGGAAGACACTCACCACAGCGTCTAGAATGTGATATGGCAGGATCTGATCGTACAAGCTCCTTCGGGGAAGAAGCTCGTCTTTCCCTGTTCTTTCGGGAAAGACACCTACTCCAGGTTACAGTACTCGTATTTAGCTTGATGAGCTGTAGTCTGTAAAGTTTCTCGGGAAAGAAACTTACGCGCCAGGCCCCTCCCAGGTCCAGGTGACGGTGTCCCGGGCGTTGGGATAGCGGATGGTGACAGGCTGCACCGGCACGCCGGGGTAGAAGCCCCCCGGCTTGAACGTGATGAGGCAGGAGCGGTTGGTACATGTTCCCTCAGGGAAGATGAGCACCTGGAATTTAATAAACACAGGTATTTTTAACCATAACCGGTGTTTTTTGTATGGAGTTTGACAGACTTTTGACGTTTGTTAAAGTTAAAGTAAGGTGGTGCAACCCAGCTTACCCAGCCATGTGGGTTTTTTTGTACCTAAAGGTGCCTAAAAGAAACATAAAATGACTCCGCATTTGTTTTCATAGAAACGTAACAGACATATTTTTTTACATTATCTACTTGTATTTCTATTCTACAGAAACAAAGAGTCAAATAAAAATCAAAATCAAAAGAGGCCCATACAAGAAAAAGTTTGATGTTTTGTTTCAGTTCGATTTGTGAAATTTAAAAAATAGAACGCATAATGCCATGCTGCTTTATCGATCATGCATAATGGATCAAAGGGGTACCTAACTGTCAAAATTAAAATGTTGACCACAATTGACACGAAAAAAGAGGGTAGTTCGGCGGTTTGCACAATTTTATTCATCCAGTTCGGCCCGCGTCTCCACTCAGAGCACGTCTCTGTATCTACGGTTCGGTGGATTTCAGTGTCCTATTAAAATATTACTAGTTTCTCGATCAGTGCAGTTAGCAGTAATGTGTTTGAAAGTGTATGAGTGTGCGTATGGCGTTCCATTTTGAAAATTTTTGCTTGCCCGCTTGCGGATAGGGGTGAAATAATTGTCATCTTTGGATTTAGTCAAGGTGAGTGGTTTTGCATCAATTTTTGTCAGTTATTTTGTCATAAGTTAATTATGAACCTACTTGTAAGAGCAGCTTACCGTTGATTTGGACACTAGACTTAACGGACGCTTATCTACACCATAAAATAAACCTTATTATTTATAGTTAGAGTTAATTACAAATTTAAATTTTCTGGATTTATAAGTTTTTTCAAGACCTATTGCATAAGCAACTAATGTGTCTGATTAATAATCTTGATTGCCAACTCGTAATTAAATTAATAGCTATTTCATTTAAACACCACACGCGATGAAGAAAGTTCTTTAACAGGCTAACTGGCTATAGGCAAATTTAATAAGGCATAATGTGGAGTTAGCGTGTCTATTCGTTTAATACCTAACTAATAAGACCAAAATGTAAGTATCTCTCTCGTGTGTTTTTTTTTTTGTAGGTACATTAGGTAGCTTTTTCAGTCTTCTTCTTGTCGTGTCGACAACAAACCTATTAAGGCTTCCACAGACCAAACGCGGGTCAGTTGCAGCGCGGCAGTAGGCACACTGAAGGCAGCGGCAGTTTCAAAGCAGTTGCAACGCGGGCGGTTGTAAAAAAAGTGCTTCTGTCCCGCCGCCTGGTCTGTCGTTCGGCAGTTGCAGTGTGGTGCGGCGCGGAGCGGTTGGAGCGCGGGCCCGCGTTCAAATTTGGTGTGACACACTTCAAAGAGTTTCTTATATTACAACTTTCGCGGGCCCGCATTCAAACTACGCTGCTACTGCCCCGCGTTTGGTCTGCCGAAGCCTTAACAGTATCACCCCAAAACTCCGCTACAAGAATGGCGTTGTCAGTAGCCTTCATTAAATCTGTTGTTTGGGCACGCAGAGCACGACATCATGTGCTTCATCGATTGTTTTTTCAGTTCTGACGTATCTCTGACTAGCGCATTAATATCCTTCTCAGATAGATTGTTTCATTATGGCTTATTTTGCAATTACAAATAAAAATCTCCTATATTATTTTTCCTGCAACTAAGTCCGAGTGTGATCGTAATTATTTTCTTTCATTTGGAAAGTAGGTCTTTCCGTGTGCACTATAAAAAGTCGGTCAACAGCCTCTTACATTTATGAAATGAAGAAGTAATATAGGTTAGTTAAAAAGTAATTTCGTTGCGCTTCTAACACATTGTAAGTATGCCGTCCCGTCAGTCACAATACGTTGTTTTGGTGGTCAATTCACAACGGTGTATGTAATTAGCAATATTAAACTTAATATGTTTTCCAACCAGACCGTAGCTTATTTTTATTTGATTACAAAAATTTGTGTAGTGAGTACTTAGGTATACGTGCATAAGAACCTTTGTTCGAGATGGCTTTGAAAGATGGTAGAAGAAAGCTGTAATAAAGATGTAAAGTAGTACGAAATACTATTTTCCTCGTGTACTCATTCATTTCTACGGTCGTATAATTGAATTTACGACTTATATTACTAGTACTTTGTTCTGAATCAAAAGTAGAACATACTTAATTAGAAATTCGTTATAGAATAGTTAGGGTTAGAGTGTCGCTCAAAGGAAGTCCCGCTCATTTTAAAATGTAGCCTGAATTCTCTTTTGGATACATTTAACTGAATTTTATTTAGAGGTCTTAGCTGAACATTTGACTAGAAAAAAGCTTTCCACGCATACAAAGATAATACATTGAAACGAGTTTTAAGCTTCTTTCTTTAATACCCGTCTGAAACTAATTGTGACCGTACTAATATCACCTGAGTTTTAAGTGATTCTTCTCAAAAGATCTGCTTGCCACAAAAAACTCCTTTCGTATGAAGGTAAAGGTCGCGGGAAGCACCTGGATTGTTGTGGAATTCCTTAGGGGAGGCATTTGTCCTGCAGTGGATGTCATTTGGCTGAAACGAAGGTCTGGTATCGCAAAGGGGGTGCACTAAAAATGACTTTTTTATCTCATTTAAAGACTTCGTCAAACAGAACGCGTACATAACGCTGACGCGCGCTCACTTGACGCCGCGCTATGACGCTAAGATTGTGTTGTACTACCATGGTAAAATACCTTCAAACAGAGCGCCAACGCTAGTATCAACGCTCTGTCGCGGCGTTAGGATGGTATGACGCCTGGTTCTACATTATACCAATACAAATCGGCGCTCGACTTTAGATTAACGCTCTACGCCGCGAGGTACGCGTTCTATTTGGCGAAGCCTTAATAGGATTTTAGTTGATGATGGATACCTGTGGCCAGTCTTCTTTAGAAGTGGCTCGTTCTATGATCTCCTTGATGGTGTTCTGCCGAGAGTTGGGGTCGTCCCGCCACACGTACACCGGCTGCGTGTAGTTGATCAGCTCTGGAATCATTAAAGTTATACATTATAATAAATCATTGGTTATGGTGTTTTATACACCTGTAAACATCATCTACGGCAAGGTCTCCTGAGGGTCTAATGTGTTTACATCAAACGCGCACTAGTGAGCACTAGTGCGCGTCAAAAAATTACATTAAATGTATGACGCATTGTACAGCGCCCGTAGCGGGAAACGTTCAAAAACTAAAATTTTCATACATAGGTACCTACATACACCCAGCCCACTGTAGCTTTACCATGAGTTTACATTTATCGTCGTCGCTAGCGAGTGCGTAAAAAAATCTATGAAGGTTTTAGTGCTCGAAAGTAACCGCTAAGGGCGCTGCGCGCGCTGTACAATCTGTCACATAAATGTGATTTTTATACACAAATAATTAGGTAATTAGAATAGTAAAAAAAAATTATTGGTAGAAAAGATAATTCTCAAAAGAATCTTACTTTTTAAATGTTTAAAAGAGAGGTTATTTTACTTTAAAACTCGTAGGTAACCGTTAATTCCCATAACTATTTTCTTTAAATGAATCACACAAACTATTATGTAATATAAAAAATTTCACTGAAACATCAACAATACTAACATAAATAATGAGTAAAAAGCACAATTAATATGCAGCCAGACACGTAGTGGAACACAAGTTTATGTACATTAACATGCAGAAAACATACTTACTTACCTACCGCTTCTTTTCTGGTCTCTCTCTCTCTCTCTCTCTCTCTGGTCCTATATATTATAGGACCAGAGAGAGAGACATTATTTGCGTACATTACGAGTAGGTATTATTATTTTTACAGACTCCAATAAAAATCGACTCTCCTCTTTTTATTTATTTAATTGTACACACATGTGCAGGAAGGCACTATTTGAAAATAAGCCAATTGAATATTATATTAATGACTATGAATAAATTGATCAATTCTAGGTCAACGGGCCTAGCAATAAAATTTAGGCTTAGCGAAGAAATTCAAGAATTGATAAAATTCGAAAGTTTTTTAACAACACCTTAAAGTATATCGCAACTACGAGTATGTCGCAAAATCTTATTTCGCAAACTAAGGAGTTTATTTACACTAATTTAGTTGATTTATCAACTTTAACTAAGCCTTTTAAAATTCCCACGTAAATCAGGACATTTGACTCATAGATAACGTCAGTGTTAATTGCACGTAACATAATTAAATTACACATACAAGTATGTCGCTTTCACTCCCATACATACGTCATTCATTACCATTCCGAGTCCACACCATGAATTATGTATGACTGTTTACGAAATACACGAGTTTTACGATATTTACACAAAAAGGCAGATAGTGCTAATAGGAAATTAAAATATCTTGCAGATAGTCACTAAACGGCCAGATAACAAGCCTCTGTATAGTAAAAAACAACAAGAATTACATAACCTCTCTTTCAAAGTTGCATAGTAAAAAGTTTCTTGATCTTTTAATATTTTTAATTCTTGAAGATATACCGAGATCATTCAAAAAGTAAATGTAAGATGCTGGAAAAACAGTTTTTTTTTCCTTTTCATCTATGAATTTTCCATATTAACTAAATATAAAACAATTTTATAATATCAGTTTAAGATGTAATTAGTTTAAATTCAAACAGTCACTGTATGTATTTAGAGTTAACTGTGATTCATTTACCCAAATAAATGGTGAAAACCTAGCCACATACATCGATATGCTCAACACTTTCACTCTATTAACGAGAAGTAATTTCACACAAAAAGCATATACTTAGTAATTGTACAACAACTCATGGCACGCATACGGAACATATTTTTAAGTTCAGCTATAATTGGTTTTCTGACATTGTCTTAATGTTGTAATGCATTAAGCTTTCTGGTAAGAATTTATTTAAAAAATCATTAACAAAATTAAATGTGTCTGTCTGTCAACGACCTTCTCATCTCCCCAGTCCCCATGTAATTTGCGTGTCTCAGCTTCGCACGAAACCTTTCTCTTGTTAGGCTTGGCTTAGAAAAAAAAGGCTTTCAGAGCTTAATTAATAGTACTGACTGTACTGATTACATTTCAGAGTTATTTGTTTGCATATAATATCTATTATGGATATAATAATGAAATCCCGTCAGTTACCAAACCATAATTAAAGAATTTTCATCTCGCTAAATGATGCCAACTCTCTTTCCCCTATTTGACTTCATCAAAATCCTTATTTTTTTGTCATAAAACGAAGCTAATCTATTTTGAAGGCTCAATCTATTTTTATACCAAAGTTAATGAAAATCGGTCACTTTATAAATGAGCCTGAAAAGATGAAAGAGATGGTTTTTCTAGAATTTTCTCCTCCAATTGAGTGAGACTCCCGCAAAATGGTTTTACACTCAAGTTTCCATCCTAATGAGCACGACTTGAAAGCGGAACAACTTGCTGTCCATTGGAACAATAAGTCTTGTAATTAGGAGACGATTCCGCAATACATTCGTAGAATTTTCCACAATGGCTCTTTAATATGTCGAGCGAAGTTAGACGGCTTCAATTATATCACCAGACGTTCAGATACATATCACGTGATAACTATAGGGCAAACTTCCATTGGACGCCGACCAGGGCCCCGATTACGCTAAAAATTTCCATCTTCAACGTGCCCGGATGCCGAACGAACATCAGCTGTTTTGACAAATCCGTATCGCAATGTCGTTATGACACCTAGTTGAAAGGAAGCATAGACGTAAACGTAAAGCTAAATATCTCATGTGACAATGAAAATACTAGGAAAGTACGTCCATTACGGTGATACCGAATTTGCACCTCAGCTGGAATTAAAAACGGAGCGCAACTGGAGAATAAGCGCGATGTATTGTAGACGTTAAAAATTAGCGTAATCGGGGCACAGTCATTGGACAAACACTCCTTAGTATTGAAATAGAAATATATTTTTAATTCAATAAATTACTAGACTATAATATCCCTTAACTGTCTGATGACTGGCAATTTACCCTGCTTAATTGACGTTTCCGGGTGTGTTTAATTATTTTTCTCTGACCTCTTTTTTCAAATAGTGAAAAACTTTTCTACCACCTTGTACATACTCGTACAAACATTCTTACAAATAGAAACAGCAATCTATGCTATTCTATTTTGCTCTATCTATACCCACCACCAAATTCATTTTATAGCACATAAACCAGCTATTGTAATTATTAACATGCTTACATATAAATCAGTAGGTAATTGAATACCCAAACGTTTTCTAGCAAATCTCTAACACTCGTATTCACAAACGATGCTTGCTTAAGTGAAGCAGCAAATCGAACGCACAGCGTTGAATAGAGCTCTGTGATTGATTCGTGTGTCACCCTGTGCGTCCACGCGCATTGTAAGACCTCATAGTAATGTTTGTGAACGTTGCATTTCAGTATCAAGTAGACAAGCGGGTCCAATGACAGTTTAACTTTCCCCCGGGACAAACTTGGCCTTCACTGGTTGGGTTTTTATTGGCGGTCAAGCTGTAGATCCTGGCTACCAAGTAGACAGTATTTTCTAGCAAATCTTTACTTCATCGACCGGCAGCCACGAGGGCGAAGCACCCTTCCGTGCCGCGTGGGCCTTGGGCTGTCGCGGAGACCTGCCGTTGTTGCTCGGCCTTGGGTTTGGATAGCACGTGTGAGAACAGCCAACTCGCACGCATCAATGTCGTATTTTAGTATCAATAGACAGCATTTTCTAGCAAATCTCTAATTTTCTAGCTCATGTGAGAACAGCTAACGCATCAACATCCAGTTCTAGGATCAAATTCAAAATATTTTCCAATAGATCAGCTTGTTTCGTGTCACTAACACTTTAAGTGATTTTTACTTTTTTTTACTTATAGTCCTTAAATCCTCAAATCTCCATTGTGTTGCTCTAAAAAAAACTAATTAATATTCTGATAACTCCATTAAAAATATTGGCAAAGAAATAAACTTAGGCCTTAAAGAAATAAACAGTAAAGATACCTATTTATCATATTAAATATCTGTGATCTTTAACTTTAGTTAATCTTCTTCGAATGCTCGAAAATTAATTAAGGGATTACCTAGGCACGAAATTGTTTTGTTTTTATTTCCACTAATTCAGTTCCTCGTTACTCTATCTATTATTATACGTGGTCAAGATTGGTGGCTGTTCTCGTCATGCTACGGCCCAGGCGACCTGAGACCTAGGCATGAAGCCGCACCGAGGCGTGACACGCTAGCCTTAAATAAACTTCGTTTTATATAACAAGATTTTAGGTACAAACGACAGCACATCAGGCTATACATTTTCGTTGCAAAATCGCTTCTATTACAACTACATAAGACCCTAGTGTTAAGTTTGACGTGCTATCTGTACAAATGCCCGTGCTATCGGCCATGAATAATTCAGCAGTACTTTGGATGTAAACCTTATTGGCATAAGCAAAGACAATTGAAACCGGTGGATAAAAATTGTGTTACGAATATAATTTTAAGTCAGGTCAGTAATCAGGAATTACTTAGATATTAAATTTATTTATCTTAGCGATTAGAGTCCCTTCTCAAACTAAATTATAAATAACTTGAAAAAATCTAATTGCCTAAGGCGGGAATCCAGTGTTTAAGGCTGAGTGCACCATCTTATTTTAACCGTGACTATAAAACAATAACCGGTGTTTTTTGTATGAAGTTTGACAGACTTTTGACGTTTGTTAAAGTTAAAGTAACATGGTGCAACCCAGCCTAAACTCGGATGGAAAAGCACTCGCCCAGCAAGCGAAAGGTCATGCGTGGGTTCGATTCCCGCCTTAGGCAGTTCGATTCTTTTCAAGTTATTTATAATTTACTTAGATAAGTTATTTTTTTACTGCAATTAGTGGCCACTTCTAAACAATACCAAGGCGCCAACATACCTCAGTGTTCAACGAGCGAATTTCAACATGAAGACCAATAGGAAAAGTAATGCTAAAGTCACACTTTAAATTTTACCAATTAAATCAGTTTCATTCTCTATTAGCA